CATCATTGGGGTGAAATAACCTGCTTTTTTTCTTTAACAATTTATTGATTTTTATTTGACAATGATAAGATAGAAATTAGCTCAGTGGAGTTTGCCAAGATCTTCATGACGTGTGGCAACAATCCAACTACCAAGCATTTTATTTTTAAAAAATTATGGGAAATTACTTTGACAGACATCCTGAAATGAGGTATTACAATGATACACTGTATTTTTATTTACAGTGCAAGTCCAAATTACGAGGTCATCAGCTAGATTTAGAACAAGAACACACAACCCATGCAATGATATTACATGAATTACAACAGCTATTGGCCAATGAACGATCAGAAAAAGAGAGATTTGAACAACAAGTAAGTCTATGAAAGCCCTAGCAATTAACATTGTATTACATGCTAGTGTGTCAGTACATCATAAAAAAAGTGATTTTTTAACCATGGCTTTTTTTACCATATCCTCTTTTTCTACATTCAATATGTAAATTCTGACTTACAAATGTATCTTTGTTGTGAAGAGCTTGGAGTACTATATAAGAAACACCGCAATCAGACTTTGGGAGTGAATCAGACTGCAGACTGTGTACCAGTATACTTATTAATTAATTTCCGGTACTGGGTTTTAACTGTTCTACATTTGCTAATTGAAATATACCCAGTACTCTAAAATTGAGTTCATGGGAAAATCATTGATATACAAAATATAACAAAATATAGCAAGAACTATTAAAGAAGATATGGAATAAATGGTATTGGTTTGTTTGAGATTGCTTTTTCTTCTGTATTTGTGGAGTGTGTTTTTGTCTGACCACATTTCTTTCTGCACAATCAAACCTTTTCATGTTTACCACTAATCATGTTCTGTGATTGTTTAAGTCTTGAACAAGTTTGATTAACATTTTAGTATTGGCATGTGCACATGCTTATTTCTCCATATGTTCTTATGTATTTATAAACAGAAAAAATATATTGTGGTTTATTGATGAACTAATAAACCATCAGTATATGTATGACATCATAGAGTATCTGTATGACATCATAGAGTATCTGTATGACATCATAGAGTATCTGTATGACATCATAGAGTATCTGTATGACATCACTATTATTATCTGACATTTCTTGATAGATTGAAGAATTACAGGAAACACTACACTGCCAACAAGCTGTTCCAGATAAGTAAGTTGTCTATAAATTACTCATTTATAGTTGGTAGTTTTCTATATTGTTAATAAACACATCAATTCCTGAAAGCCTCCATGAGTAGGCACAGATTGTTGATATGTATTGTATAAAAACAGCTCCAGTAGGTTGGTGACATACATGGCACTGTTGAATGTTGATTGAATGAATTCATATTACCGGTAGTTTTGATAATGCCATTGTGACACTGATTGCCATAGGGGTTCAGTTATATATAACATGTCACAGTGTCTCTGAGGATTTAAAAAAAATGGGTGATTTCCCTCTTCATTCTGAATTGGGGAGAGGAGGTTAAATCATACAAGTATCACAATTTCACATTGTTGATCTTGCAGTTGTTATCATTGAGGCTCAATTTCTACAGTTTTTTATTCAGATCACTTATAGCTTGTATGGACTTACATTACCTCGTTGATCATTGACATTCCCCTCCCCCAAAAAACCAGTGTAATTTCTTTGTTTCATTGTACATTGTCAGTCATGTTGTAGGACATATTTTTCTGGTGGTAAATACATATAGCAGTGAATTCTGATGACATTATTTTAAAATCAGTCAAATTGTACACACACATGCAAATACTGTGTGATTAGCAATTCTTTTAATTCACTACTCCCCCTAAAAGACCAGAAAGTTGTGCACACTCAAGAAAAACCCTAGAAATCATTAGTCTTGGATGTGATACTGATGCCAGCCAGCCTTTGGACACCATTCCAATTTTATACCTTGAAAACAAAATTTCATTTTTTCAAACTGATTTGAATCTGTAGTTTATAAAAAATGGTTGTCGATGGTCCTCATATGAATATACAAGTGTGGCTTGTTTTGCACCAACTGTAAAATAAAGCAGACAATATATATACGAATTGAAAGTTACATTATCCAAAAATCATGCACAAAGCATGCATATACTACACATGCTTCACTGACTGTTGTTAATTGTTGTAGATCTGAGGAATATGAGAGACGTATTACTGCTTTAAGTGATCAGTTAGACGCTGTAAGAACTCGATTGAAAGCTTCGGAGGACCAAGCTGCCAAACCATCACCATTACTCTTAGAATTACAAAAAGAAATGGCTGAAATGAAGGTCTGTGAATACATCAACTGATATTTATTGAATCAGTTGTGTGGTGATTTCTATTGAGAGCAGAGGCGGATATAACCAAGGGTCTGCATGTCCCATCTTGATATGTGGCATCAAGTCTCACTACAAATAAAATCACATTTAGATACATGTAATATGAATATATTTATTGATTTATTGTCATTTATTAATATTGATTGTGCAAGATTTGTTGTGTGTTTATAAGACCAACATAATTCCTTGAGATCTTTGTCCAGTTTCCCAGGATGCACTACTGTATCATGTGGTTTTATCCAATGTATTATTTGAATTTCTTTCTTTGACATCAATCTCCATACAGGCGCAACACCGAATGCAAGTGCAGTTGGAACAAAAAAAAGCAGAGGAAGCAGAAGAAAAACTTAAACTTGCTGCGGAAACTGATGAGAAGAGAGTTGCTAGCTTAGAAGATAAATTGTCTGAATTGTCGGAGGTGACAGGCACTTATGAAAGACTCAGATACCAAGACCAGATGGCAATACAGTAGGTTTCTACTTAACTCATGCTAAGTAAAATTGGAGCCTCACAGAATAAAACAGAAACCCCCTTATTAGCTGTATTTTTACTGGAAGTGTCATGATTTCATTTCAGACGTTTAAAAGAACGAGTAACGCAGCTTGACTTAGAAAACACTGCACTTGCCAGAGCAGCCAATAAAACGGTCCCAGTGCTGGAAGATGCACCGACCAATGATGACAATATTTTAGACGTCAATTCATTAGTAGAAAAGATCACCAAGTTAAAGGGCCTTCTAAAACTAGCCAATCAGAATTCAGAGAAACCAGTAGATATTGATGGTAGGTTCATTTGTCTTTATATCACATGCTATAAATTCATGTGACTGTTCACTGCCTTAAACACCTATCACATGTACAATGATATATTTTCTTCTGAGTTAAAATTATTCGCTAAGGAACATGAGCCTTGGAGAACAAAATGTGTGTGCCTCATACATCCAGTAAATCATTCCACATCCCAGCCTATTTACACAGTGTTTGATAATTACTGCCAGCTCGTGCGCCAGAGACAATTTTCCAGTTGGGCTGGTAAAAATTAAAACTTACATGCCTGGTAATCTAGTAACATGGCTCATGGTCTGCTCCAATAACGAATTTTGAAAATGAAATTTTACTGAAAAATAAATTGTTGATACAAAGATAGTGAAACAAGGAATAGGAAATTTAAATTATTCACTGGGTGTTGCAGAATTTTGAGTTTTTGTGGTGATTGCTTGGAATGAAACAGAAGTATTTGGAAATACAATGTAGTCTTGAACTGGCAACTTTTTGGCAGGTTTGTGGAAATTTGAAAATTGACAAAATTATCTGCCCTGGTGTCTGGTACACAATTTTGCAAAACTACAAATGAACATAAAGTTATTTGTTTTCAGAAGTTTGCAGTATTGATGATTCTTCCTCGCTGGAAAGCAATCCACAGCATAAAGCATGCCAACAGGAATTGAAACAATTAAAAGATGAATTTGAACGTTACAAACTGAGAGCACAGAATGTTTTGAAAAGTAAAAATGCAAAAGTAAGTTTTTTATAAGATTTGTTTTTAAAAGATGTCATTAAGTATTACATAATATTAGATTCAGACAAACAAATAAGTAAACAAAAACTAGTAACTGATGTATTCATACTAGTACCTGTTTTACAGGGCTTTGGTGATTCAATATACTTCACAAAACGCCATAGTGAAGTAATGCTGGCTGGGGCTGTTGCTGTTATTGGCGCTTACACCTGTAGACGTTGTCCATAATTCATCTGTTATTTGTACTCAATTAAATTCTATGGTTTTGTCAGTTCTATTTTTAGTAGGGTCTCACAATCATGACAAACACTATTGAAACATTTAAATTGATTGTAGTGAAGATAAAGTAGAATTAGAAATGTGAGAACAAAATTAACTATTGACAACAACGAGTGAAAACTAGATGACCTGAAACTAGATATACCGTAGTTGACCAGGTAAGCGCCCCGGGGCCTGAACATGGAAAATTGCCTAAAAATATGGTTGGGCGTTTGCCCGGACATTCGCGAAAATTGACAAAACACAGATCGAACTGCGGCAGAAAATAGAACGGCAAATGAAAACATGCAACAGAAATAAATGAACAATATGCAACATTAGAAATAAAACAAAATTAATGTATTGCTTATAATGTGACAAATAAACCAGGAATACTAAAAATCGACGGCAAGGAATCATTTGAATTAGGATTTCCCCGCCGCAAACACGCCCAAACTCAAACTCAAAATGAACTAAAATGTCAGACTTAAACTGCGTAAAATTATTTCCGGTTTTGACAAATACCGGACCAACAGCCATACACGCACAATAATAATTTATGAATTTACACAGTAAAAATTTCTCAGATCTTTATTTGTACGCTCATTGCTATCTTCGTCAAAGTCAATCCCTCAAAGTCCAAGTCGGCATCACTGTCGCCGTCCAACAAAATCCCTACACCTTTGTCTTGAAGTTCGTCGATGTCATCGCACACACTTTTATTCCATGGAATTAACTGTTTGTAAGCTTGGCATAACTAATCACAATAAAGAAAAATTGGGTCGCGTGCAAACGACACTTCTCTATCATCGTTGACCTTTAAGCATCTGCTTTACTGATTGGCTAAGAATTACGTCATTACTAGTGTTTCATCATAGAGGTCATAGAGTCATTGGCGAGATGTTGCAAAATTGTTGGCCCCAATTAATTACATCGATGGAAACAAGGAAAAAAGTAGAAATATTTCTACATCTAAATTCCATGTTTTTTTTTTCAGCTACATTAAAATTCATGTGAGTGCCTTTCCTTACTTCAGTCTGCGGTTGTTTCCACCTTATTTACAAATAAGTCATGATTCACCCCCATATGGGGTACTAGATAATTACTTATATTTGTCTAATTCAGGATAATACAAATAGTAAAGAGATGGAAACACTGAAGAGTGAAGTAACAGAACTCAGAGAAAGATTGTCAATGTTGAGAAGTCAGTTAGATGAAGATGAAAGGTTACATAACATTAAGGTGAGGTTGCCATGGCAGTTTTTTCCATCATCATAACTATTCATCATCAATACCTTTGATTTGGAACTCACTTTTATAGGGTTTCTATTATAACTCTGTATTTTAACTAAATTTCTGGAATATTGTGGAGAGTCTTGGACTAAATTGACAAGAGGAACATTGATTAATGCATTTTGCTGGGCCTGGTTGATACTTACAAAGCTCATTAAATTGCCATGATATAAACATTATGATAGGAAGATCACAGAACTCTGTCACATAGTTCAAGCATTGAATATTGTTTTCTGTGACAAAATGTACCCTGCACTTGCACTGAGGAAAAAGAAGTCAGACAAGCATGACATTCATTAAAAAAAAATAATGTTACAGGATGTCTAAATATGGAAGTGCCATAATTATATTATGCAATGACCAGTGTCACATTCAGCCAAATTCTTCTGTCATAATTATGGGTATTTTTCAGGGCAAAGTTACATGTGCAATAGTAAAAACGTTTGAAGTTGTTTTAAAAAAATGCCCTTAATACTTTATGATAGAACAGATTGGTTGTATATGACGCTATCCTCAAAATGGCCGGTTGACAAAAAACAATGATAAAATATCATTATTGATTCTTTCCTATCAGATAAAAGAATATGAAACAACAATAAGCACTTTACAGAATAAATCTAAAGAAGACTTATTGATGGCTGAGTTGGAATACAAAGTAAGTTACAAATAAATTTGATTGTCAATTACTTATTGAGACAAGTGCATATGTAATTTACAGTAATTTGGTATTTGTATTTTCATTATCTGTCAGCATAAAGTGGGTGAATTGGAAGAACAAGTACATAAACAGAGAGACAGAACGTTAGCATTGTTAGAAGAAAAAGACAAAGAAATAGAGACTATGAAACACCAGATATCTCAAACCTATGGTGCATATACTGGGTAAGGGCAAGGGTTATTACTTTTGGATGCAGGGTTATAGAAGATTGATGGAGGGGTACTAACTTTTATAACATATTGTTTATTTTTGTATTTCTTTCTTTAAAATGTCATGCCTTTCATTTTTTGACATTTTGTACTAGTCACATTGCACACACATGTGGAACTTCAGTGGGTATATGAATACTGTAGAACCAATTATTTTCACTGGCATTTAATTTTACTACATGTATTTTGATTTTATGAGCAATTTTTCTTGGGTGTAAGCTCACGAATTTGGCATGGAAACAATGAGCTCTATTATTATTTTACCTGTTAACATAGATTTAATTCAGGAAATTTAAAAACAAGTAAATAATTAAAATGCATTTGTGGAATGGTTAAAAGAAAGATTGAAATTATATTTTTTGAGTGGTTGAATTATTATAGTGGGTTTAAATCAGGAGTAACATAATTGTAGAATTATTATAAGAGGTTAATGAAAGTCATTTCAAAGAGTGAAATATGTATTTGTAGTGATTATAGCAAAAACTTTGTGATGGGCGTCTTTCGCAGTCAGTGATATTCACCAAAATATTTTTCACAACTCTATAGACCTTAGCAATTAATTCCCACCACCAATTAGATACAGTATCAAAGCATTTTGGTTAATTTTTAACAAATCCAAATCACTCTGAATAATTTTCCTTACGTTCATGTGTATTATGTTTGCACTTGAAATTTTGATGATTTTAATAGGAGTACTCGGTATATATTTTAGTACATACATGTACACTCACAAAAATACGCATGAAATATTAGTAAGAGAATTTATTAGTCCCTGTTCTGACACAGTCTGAAAGCGAGAATTTATGGATTGACACCTGTGCATCCGTGCGTCCGTGTGTGCATCTTTCTGGACCTATATACATTCAAACTTCACACATGCATCATACATAATATTAAACATCAATTACACATCAATTTGTTTCACAATCTGATTCAAGATGGTCAAATGGTGACCATTTTTGTACTGAAAAATCATCAAAATGAGGCATTTCTCTGCTGTTTACAGATGTATTTCGTTCAAACTTGGTACATACATTAGACATTATGGGTCTCTCGGTTGCACGTCTTTTTGTTTTTCCAATTGGGTTCAAAATGGCTGACGGTTGGCCATTTCAACCAGTTTTAATTAATGCTGTTCCAGAGCAATATCTTTCAATATGGACAAGTACTAGCCAGTAGTACTATATTGCTATAAACAAAACTATATAACTTACTCAGTAGATTTAATAACTAATGGCGACTGTGTCATGGATGGCTTGTTACATTACCTGAACAAAAAAAAAGCATTGCTTTCCCTTGCCATAATTATACATTTTTCTTTTTCCGGTAAGTTCATGCAGCAATCCTAATGAATAAGATTTAGAATTCTCAACTGGCTGATTTTGCAGGATTTCTGAGTAAAAAAAACGTTGATCCCCCAAACAACTCATTCTATGATTTTTCAATAATATCATTAATTCAGTCCAGCGGTTAGATAAGTTATTTATTAGTGACGCCCGAAGAACCAAAATTTAGAATCTTAATCACTCCGACAACGAAAAATATTGGTATTAACAGCCAAGGGGATGAGTAACTGCATGTGTGTATGGTTCAACCATTTTTAAAAAAAAAAAAATTGCAAGAGGGAGCACTGCAATTCAGCGGTGCCACCCTACCAGGGTGTGGAGTTTTTGATAATTCTAAGTTAAAATGGAGCATGCTATGGCTTCCTTGGGGCCAAAATTACTATCAGACAAGTCACAGTTGAAGACTGTGGCCACATGTAATTCCTGGTCAATCAGAATTTTATGGTTGCCAGAGGATCTGCTCCCCAAGGTAAGGGGCGCATGGCAATGGCATGAGGGCGCTGCACCCCTGTTCCCTTGTTCAAAAAAATCCCTGGTTCAACTATGAGAATGATTAAGGGGATTACAGTAATCATATTTTTATACTCATTTCACTGTAATGAGCTAATATTGCAAAGATTTTTGTTACTACCTTAATATTTAATAATTTATAATAATTATTAGATATATTTGTCTTTTAAATCAGTGAGTGGGGTTCACGACGTTCCTCTGTTGGTCAGCACTCAGATAGTTCAGATGAAGAGAGCCAAACAGAGACTACTGAAGAAACTCATGTGTCTGATTTGTTGTCTAAGTCGTGTCTAACAATGGTAAGTGACTTGTAACAAAATTTAAAGTTATCTTACAAATTATTTTATAGTCTTTACTGTCACTGCCATTCTGTTCTGAACACCTAAAATGCAATATTGCCAGCTAAGTTAGTGACTGGTTTGCTATCTGCATCTTGAGATCATTACGTGATTAAAACTGGTTAGTTCAAATCACTTTTACAAGGGTGTGTCGTTCAGCTAAATGCACACATTTAGGAGCGTTATGACACACACTAAACACACCAGCGACTGTGTTCAGACATTTCATACTGTGTCAGTACATACATTTTGTTTAGATAACTGAGGTAGCAGTAGGGGAAAAAACAATTAAACTGTGATTCTTTTTTTTAAGTTAGTAAGCATGTTACTATGACAACCTATACATCATTTGAAAGCTTAGATATTGGCAAATACAGTTACTGTAGTGCATGTGTGTACCAATGTTTGTCTAAAGGATAACCTAATGCGAAATTTTGCTGTTGATCTTTTTTGACTATCTCAACTGTTAAAAACCCCAATTTTAACAATCTCAGTCCTGCTAATACTGAACTGGATGATTTTTGTTGTCAGTACTACATGTATGTCTGTAGTTATTTAGTTGTAGCTAGAAAACAACATACATAGACTGGTGACTGTTTTCACATAGACAGACAACCATTTATTTACTCTATTTCCAACATAACAATCTGGAGTATTATTTGCTTTTGATATTATTTGAAGTGTCTTATTTTTATTTGACTAAATTACTAACATTTTGCATCCATGGTAATTTAAATAAGTTACCAAGGTGATTTTTGCACATTCATTATTTTACATGCACATTGGTCAGATTAATGTATCTGATAAAGGTTTAGAACACAAACTTTTCAAACCTTAGCAACCAGTGTTACCATGTATGTCACATGATTGATTGCAGACAAGTACACGCAGTGAGTCGTCCTTATTACACTATGCCGAACAGCAAGCCAGGAAAGACATTGAGATAAACAGCTTGAGAAAACAAAAACATGAATTGGAAATCACTCTGAGACAAATACAAGAGAAATGTGTTATGAATGAAGATAAATTTTCTACTGAACTAGAAGATACTCGAGAAGAAGTTCATAGACTTGAAAGAAGCAGGTAAAAAAAATAATCCTTGACCTTTCTAATTTTATTCATTTGGTTGTATTCACTGAAAATGTGTTAGTTTGCTCACAGACTGGTTCAGATATCATGGAAGACAATTATTTTTTTTAAGCTTTGCATCTTGGCCAACTTTGTAAAACTTTCTATTTTTTTCTGTTACACAGTTTTGATTTCGTGAGATAGGTTATCGCTGCCGAGTAAGCGCCAAGCATTTGGAATTAACACAGTGGTATAACAATCTTGATTAATACCTGCTAAATAGGGAATTTAGGATTGCATAAATTCTTGAAAAGTCTTTTTTTTTGTGTTTCAGTTTCAGTATATTTGATTTTGTGTGTTTTTATTCAGGTCCAGAGAAAGTGCAAATCTTGAGTATTTGAAGAATGTGTGTTACAGTTATTTTATGACAGATGATTATCCTTCTAAACAACAAATGCTGAATGCCATAGTTACCATATTACATTTTAGCCCAAAAGAGGTGAGTTTAAAACACTATCTGTTGCATGAACCTGGACATTATTAGTCCCTGCTCGGACGCAGTCAGAAAACGGGAACTTATGTTTTAACCCTTGTGCGTCTATGTGCCTGGACCAATCATAATCATGGCCGAATGGTGGCTATTTTTGTGCTAAAAATCATCAAAATCAAGCATTTCCCGACTGTTTACAGATGGATTTTTTGTTCAAACTTGGTATATACATTAGACATTATGGGACCTTTATTCAAATAATTTTGTTTTTCAGATAAGATTCAAAATGGCCGACTGGCGGCCATTTTGTTTTAATGAATGTGGTTCTCGTGCCATATCTCTGACTTGCTTTGACTGATTATATTCAAATTTTAAATATTCATTAAACATCATGTCATAGATATACAGATATATTGGTTTAATGATCCTATTCAAAATGGCCGAATGGTGGCCATTTTTGTGCTAAAAAATCATCAAATATCAAGCATTTCTGGCATTTCTGGATGGATTTTGTTCAAACTTTAATATAACATACATTAGACATTACAGGTTCCTGATGCACATCATTTTATTTTTCAAATCCAATTGAAAATGGCTGACTGGCGGCCACTTTGTTTTAATGATTGGGCTTCTAGAGCCATATCTCTGACATGCTTTGACTGATTATGTTCAAATTTTATATATTCGTTATACATCATGCTATATATAGATAAATGTATTCAAAATGGCTGATTTTGTTTTAATTAATGCTGTTCCAGAGCAATATCTCTCAATATGAACAAGTACTTGTGTCAAACAAGATCAGATACAAATGTCAATCATTTTAATTTTAAACAATCATCATAATCATATTCCTGACATCGTTATATTTCAGCTATATTACTATAAACAAAACTATATATCTTAAATTTTATAACTAACAGGGACTGTGCCATGCATGGCTTGTTCAGAACTAGAATATTATATCCCATTTGAACAAAGTTTGAAAACAGAAATTTAAGGATTGACTTCTGTGCCTTCGTCTTGGACATGCCTTGACTGATCACATTCAAACCTTACACATACGTCTTTAGATACATATATATTTGTTTTGTGACCTGATTCATGATGGCCTATTGGTGGCCATTCTAGTGCTAAAAATGTATCAACATTGTTTTACCTGACATTAGTCAGTTTTTTATATATCATTTTGTGGTCGATGTTATATATAAAAATGAATGAATCATTCTAATCATTGGACTCCTCCAATTAAATAATTGAACCTTCTTATTTCTGTTTAAAACAATAATTTGATGTTGTTTTGTTTGTTTTTTCTTTGCAGAAAGATGTTGTGAATAAAAAGAAAAGAGCAACGTGGAGTGCCTATTTTCAAAGTACTGCCAAAAAATAGTATCAGGCTTGATTTTTTGAGACGTTTTATTTATTTATGCCTGGTGTTGGACTTGACACAAAAATGTTACAGCAGAAGGCCAGTTGTTGGAGGTTACAGTTTTCACAAATTCGTATCTGAATAATTAACCAAAGATCAGTTGAAATTTATACCATAGTTGCTCTATTAATTCATCACATGTGCTTACATAAATGTGTCCACAGGCAAAAGATTTTAAAGCA